ATAATATATATTAATATATGTATAAATAGATCACTTAAATATTTAAATAAAATCTTGCACTGCTGTGATACGTTTATTTTATTTTTCAGGACACCAGTTCAGTGACAAATGGGGCCTTCTGACAGATCCCTCTGACATCAGGACGGGCGTCAAGGGTTACCTGAAATGTGACATTAGTGTGGCCGGCAAAGGAGACAGCATTCAGTCTTCGCAGAAAGTCAGTGATGCAGAGGAACAAATAGAAAAGTAAGTGAAGCTTGCTACATTTGGTACAGAGCTATTTGTAAATAACATTTGTCTGCTTTCTAATTTCTAATTTCATCTCAGAGAGATTCCCTCAAAATTCCTAAATCGCTCCGCAATGATCAGTACACTGCTCCATTTAAAGCACAAACCGTACAAACAGCGCTCTTGTAGTGATACTGAGGGGGTAAAAAATGTGAGACCCTAAATAGTGTGCAGCCCTGAAACCCAGGAGGAGTGCCTGTGGATATGCAAACCAAAAACAGAAAAACCAAAAAGGGCGCAACACTAGGTGGGCTGACTAACCGGGTCGAGCGACCCAGGGGAGGTGACAGGGAAAATCACGTGACAATGGATGCAAAGGGCGAAAAACCAATGAATAGCTGAGAAAACAAAAGGAGGAGCACTTACATTTTAAATCATGGGACCAGAGGATGGACGGCCGGTGTGAAGGATCGGGTCGCCGGTGGAGTCTATCTGGAACTGGTGTGCCGGGAGATGTGCATCCACACAGGGAGAGGAGACTGTGGACGAGGGGAAAAGGGGGGGGAGAGGAACCACGAGAATGGGGACTCAGTCCGTGGCCCGCTATGTGTGTCCAGGGGCTAAGTAGTTGTGGGAAAGAATCGGCTGTGTCAGAAACAGGCTGAACAGCTGTGGCCGCAGCTGTGGATCGTGCTGCTCGGTCACCGTCAGCGCAGACTGGGGCAGTGTGCGGGAGCCGTTGACTAAAAATTGTCGGCTGTCAGTGGGGTCTGTGATAGGAAGAGGGTAGTGGCGGGATGGAAGGGCAGTGAGCAACGCGTTTCGAGGAGTGATACCTCTTTTTCAAGCTCGAGAAGGAACATATCATATATATATATATGACCGAGCAGCGCGATCCACAGCCGCGGCCACAGCTGTTCAGCCTGTTTCTGACACCGCCGATTCTTTCCCACAACTACTTAGCCCCTGGACTCACATAGCGGGCCACGGACTGAGTCCCCATTCTCGTGGTTCCTCTCCCCCCCTTTTCCCCTCGTCCACAGTCTCCACTCCCTGTGTGGATGCACATCTCCCGGCACACCAGTTCCAGATAGACTCCACGGGCGACCCGATCCTTCACACCGGCCGTCCATCCTCTGGTCCCATGATTTAAAATGTAAGTGCTCCTCCTTTTGTTTTCTCAGCTATTCATTGGTTTTTCGCCCTTTGCATCCATTGTCACGTGATTTTCCCTGTCACCTCCCCTGGGTCGCTCGACCCGGTTAGTCAGCCCACCTAGTGTTGCGCCCTTTTTGGTTTGCTCCATTTAAAGGATATCTAAAACCAAAACCTTTTGTTATAGTTTTGGATAAAGCAAGGGAATGTTAGCTCCCCTGTCAGGTTATTATATCTCCTTGTGTACAGGCTGGGGAGATTCACCCTATCTGCTTGTCCTGGTGACTAGGGATGAGCTCAAGTTCGGGCCAAACTCAAGTTAATCTGATTTCGGGGGGAAGCTGTCAGTGCCAATCTGTCGCGGCCGGGATACTCCCTGCCATGCAGCTGCAAAGGGGCAGGATGCGGGTGACTTTATTACCTTATATGGTCACATGGCCATATTTGGTCAATGACATTAAGCTAATATGGCCATCTAAGGTTAATTATGTCACCAGCTTCCTGATTGGACCAGCACCCACAGCTTCCTTTTGGGTGTTCAGCGAACTCAAGTATAACACTTGTTTCAGTGACAAGTGTCTAAGAAGAGAATTCCGCTCACTACACTATAGAGATTTCATCTCCCCTTCTATTGCTGCAAATTTTTATACCGCATAATATTAGTGCAACTCTTTATCAAATCCAAAATGTCAGTAAAAATGACACTTAAGTTAATTTAAAAGAGAACTGTGGGGTAACCTATCCCATAGTTCTCTTGAGGGTCACCTATTCTAACATCCTCCTGTGACCCAAAGTTCAGTATATAGCTCGCTATATATCGAGCTCGCCGTAGCCGGGACAGATCCCGACAATACTGTCGAGATCCCCCCAGCTGGCTGATTGACAGCGGGCTCTGCCTATCTAGCTGTGCCTGCCCCCTCCCCCGTCCGTTCCTCCAGTCAGCGTGGGAGGATCGGAGCCGGGAGTGGGGGAATCCCTGTGGAGAGTGGTGACTGACAGTCACCCCTCACTGCAGGGAGACGATCGCAAATTGAGCGGCCCGGCGGCATGTTTCTGATCACTTCCCGATCTATAAAGCCGACATGTGATAGAGCCGATGTGTGACAATTAAACTAACTATGAGGATGAGTGGAAATCACTCACCTCATTGATCTCCTTAAATGCACAAAAACACGGTATAATACCCAGTAGTATATTGTAAAATATAAAAGTGGAGGTTGTGCTGAGTAAATAGATAACCAACATGCCAAGCTTAAAAATTGTGTTCACCTGTGAAATGGGGACAAAATAAGGTATCCAAAATTGTCCATAGGCGACTTTTTAAAAGCCCCTATAGGTCATCTGTGTTGAGTTAAACATGAATGTTGGCCCTAGAATTATTGCTCTCACTCTGCTAATTTCAGGAGATATGAAGTGAGATTTGGTGATATCACTACTGTGCTACTCACCGTTCTCCTTGAGGAAGCAAAGCCCTGCCTCTATTAAGCTGGCCACCTCTACACAGAGACACATTGAATAATGAGGCATGGTAGGTCAGTAATGGGGAAAATAAATAAGCTGCAGGAAAGGCCACACGTAATACTGGTGACTAGTCCTCTCCCTGCCATTTCTGGGCACAGCTTCCAGAGTTCAATTCCTCTTTAAAGGCATCTCTATTGAGGGTACTTTTAGCCTGGATTCAAATGTTATGTGTGTTGGTGGGCTGTGTTGCCTTTCATTCTAAATGGCACCCCAAAGCACCTTCCCAATGTACCACCACAATGCATGGCAACACACAACATGACATTGTAATGCACAGCATTGGAAAAATGGTTCATGCACCTTTTTTGGGCATTCTGGTGCATTAGTCAGCTGCCTCGCTGCAATGCATGTGAATGTGTGTTAACTAGACATGTAAGCTGCGGAAAAATTCAGTTTGGGTATTTCGTTATTCGGATCTGAAATGCAATTCGGTTCGGGTTTCGGATTCGGACGAAAGTTTACGAACAGATATTCGTTACAACTACCGCAGAAAACCATATACAGGATGTTAATACTAAAGCTGAATCTCCTAGACCTGAATGGCATTCGGGATCCGAATTTCTGAATTGCATTCGGGAGCTCCCAAATGCCATTCGGGTGTGGGCAGTGGTGTATTTAGGTTTGGGGCTGCCCTAGGCAAGACAAAACTCTGGCGCCCCACCACCCCCCCACTAAATTTACCCCACCAGGCTGTGATCTTAGGTGGGCTCTACAGGGTCTGTGGTGGGCTCTATATGATCTATGGTGGGCTCTGCAGGGTCCCAGGTGGGCTGTGAAGGATCTCTGGTGGGCTCTGCAGGGTCTCAGGCTGCCAAGACGCCCTGCCGGAATCTGCCGCTCGAGGCAAACGCCTTGTTTGCCTCGCGGCAGATACGCCCCTGGGTGTGGGAGCCATGTACATAAACTGTATTACTAAAGCTGAGGCTCCCAGACCCGAATGGCATTTGGGAGCTCCCGAATGCAATTCAGAAATCCGGATCCATATGGCTCCCATGTTGCCGTAACAAAAATTTGTATTCAAAACCGAAAAACACATCTGATTGGCCAGAAAAGTCACATGTCCGATTCAATTTAGTTTTTGAACGAAATTCGGACGGGATCTGAAATTCAGAAACGGACCTTTGGATTCGGACGCATTCTGATGCATTGGGATTCGGAAATTTTTATTTGTCAGAATGTCCATTTTTTGGAAAATGTGTAGGAATTTTGATTCAGAACGAACCGAATCGCACATGTCTAGTGTTAACACACTGCACAGTTGTAAATTTGCCCTAAAGCAGAACCTGATCTTTTTCGGATGGGCTGTTCTGGGTGAATCTGTGATGGAAAATGATTTTGTGGTCCTTGTAAATCACAGAATTAGAAACAGGATGTAGTGCAAAGCTAACAACACTAGCAGAATGTTCTCTTATATGAATGGTCTAGAGATAAATCCATAATTCTGCCCCTTTATAAAACAATGGTTCGGCCTCATCTAGGGTTCAGTTTTGGTCACCAACCCTTTAGGAAAGATGTCCTTGAACTAGAAAGAGTTTTGAGAAGGGCAACAAAATTATTAAATGGGTTAGATGACCTCAGTTATGAGGATGAATTTACAAAGGTTAGAATACATAGACATTGATACGTCACATGCGTCAAGAAGCCAACATTTCGGGGCCGCGCAGGGTCCCTTCATCAGGGCAACATTATCACGTGATCATCTCAGCCTAGGTAAAGTCAATGGACTGGAGTCTTTTGATGATAAAATGTGGAGCGTTTCTGAAAAACTATACTGTAGCTGTATATTGTGACATACCAGGAATCTATTCTTGCAGACTTATAAAGATACTGAGAAGTCAACTTTTAAGCAGACCTTCCATTAAAATGAAAGATCTGCTTTAGTAACAACCTCACACCGCAGATCCTGATTAATATCTCTGATTTTGTGTCGGCCAGGAACCTGCTGATCCCCAAAGGTTTCCCCTCGGAAAGGCCCTGGGCCCGGTTCTATGTGAGGATCTACAGAGCCGAGGGGCTACCGAAGATGAACTCCAGTATTATGGCGAATGTCACCAAAGCATTTATGGGGGATGACAAGGACCTCGTGGACCCGTATGTGGTTGTCATGTTTGCAGGACAGATGGTAAATGGCACACATTGGAACAATGACATGTTATAAAATAGAAGTATATTGCTATGTTGGCATTCAAATTAGAGTGCAATGTGTCTCACTTTAAAGCTGATCTCCAGTCAGATATAAAAGACACAGATTGATGCAGCTCTGTAAATATTAATACATCACTAAATGTATTTTACATGAAAACAGTGTAAGTATTTGAATTTGACTTGGCATCAGCCTATTGCAGTCCCTGTACAGCTGAGCCTAGACTGGGAGAGTGTGAATTAGCACAAGGAGCCAATTAGGTGTGCACTAGAGCATGCTGAAAGGAGGAGAGAGTATAGTGAGAAATGAGCTCAGAAGTGTGCTGCTTTTCCTTTCACTGTCCAGTCAGAGGCTGAGGAAGAGAACATATTGAACTGCAAAAAAAAAAACCCAGACTGGGAGAGTATGGAGGCTGCCATAACCTTTCCTCCTAAAAATGACCATCATGCTGAGCTCAGGCATGTATGGATCTCACAATTACAATTAAATTACAATTAAAGACAATTGGAATATAACTGCACATAGAATGATTATAAGTCAACTCTTTAATGAAGCGGCCATTTGTTTTGGATATCAGGGTCGGACCACAGCCCAGAAGAACACAGCGGTGCCGGTGTGGCACGAGCAGATTGTATTTAAAGAAATGTTCCCCCCGCTGTGTCGTAGAGTAAAGATCCAGGTGTGGGATGAGGGCAGTATGAATGACGTGGCTCTGGCAACTCATTTCATAGACCTGAAGAAGATCTCTGACGAGCAAGATGGGGACAAAGGTGAGTCTTCAATAATTTACATTGGTGTGTGTTAGGTCTCATGGAGGACAGAAACCACGCAGACACAGCCTTTGACTTCTATGAGAGGCTGTACACAACACCTGTGGCTCCATGATAGGGAAAAAATGTCGGGAAGATAGGCCCATGTGCAAGAACCCGTAACCTGTAAAATTTCAAAAGTGGCTAAAAAAATAAAGCAACTTGTCTATTAACTTGGCTATTATTATCATTACCGGAAACCTGGAGAAGAACAAAATGGATAAGAAGTCTGCATGACTAGGCGGCAGAACAGGTCAGAGAAGGGTTAAGGTTTGAATTTAGTGGGGAAGGTGTAGATCTTACCAGATTGGTATCTGAAGCTTAACCCTAGGGGTTCTTTCTGGGCAAAAAGAAGCCCCTAGGGTTGTTCCTGTGAAGATTGCTGGGTATTCATTCCAGAAAGTTCAGCATGCGGTGTACACATCACATACCATACCTCAACTCAACCCTTTTGATTAAGTTTACCATAGGTCAAACACACCAGAGGGGGCAGAGTTGATGTGAGGTGTGTGATGTGTACACAGACCCTGCTGCTGAATATATATTTTGCTTATTGGCTTGCAGTGCAGTGAACTCTTCTGTGGACATTGTGTGTGGGAGTCAGAACAAGCCCGCATCTGTCCTGTGGGAGGACGAGCAGCAAGACTTTAAGAGCAGTGTCATAGTTTCTCCATAGGCTTTTTTTATGCTGTGTGTTCCAATGGGAATATGGTCCTGGCCAGAGAAACTAGATGATGTGGCACAAAATATCTAAAAAGTAGGGGAAATCACGTTTTTAGACAGTTGTCTCCATCGCTACTCTATCCAAAACTAAACAAAGAGAAAGTCTTTTAATTTATTTAGATACACTGCCTGTCCAAAAAAGAAAAAAAACAAGTCAACAATATAGAATTTAGCTAAGTAAATAGGTCAGAGCTTTCCATTGGATAACAGGTGTAGGTTCAGTAATGTTATGTGCTCAGAAAATGAGGTCAGCTGTCTACCTGAATATACTGCATGACCAGGTTTTTCCATCAATGGACTTTTTCTTCCCTGATGGCACATTGGGCATATTGCAAGATGACAATGTCAGGATTCATCGGGCTCATATTGTGAAAGAGTGGTTCAGGGAGCATGAGACTAATTTTCACACATGGATTGGTCACCACCGGGTCCAGACCTTGAGAATCTTTGAGATGTGCTGGAGAAGATTTCACACAGAGGTCCGACTCTGTCATCATCTCTACAAGATCTTGGTGAAAATGTAATGCAACGGAATTCATTCTGTGGAAAGAAATGTTGTGATATTGTATAAGCTTATCAAAATGTTGCCACAGTGAATGCATGCTGTATCAAAGGTAAAGGTGGTCCACGAAAATATTGGAGTGTGTGACTTTTTTTTTAGGATACAGTGTATATAGCACCATTAGCTTCCATGGCCATGTACGAAGAAAGACTGAGTAAGACCGACATTAAACCATGTGAAAGTGCTGCTCATGGGTTGCAATGTCATGGGTAAAGTTGCCTGTCGCCAAAATAAATATTTAAAATAATTTGTTCCTTGCAAAGAAGACAAGCAACATTCACCTCTCCTAATGCATATGTCATAAATTTCTACGGTATTGAAGAGAAACTGCTTACTGAAGATCCTGCAGAAAAATACTTTCAGAAGTGTCAATTCCCCCCTGCTGCACACTGAAAATTCATCCTGCTAACCCCTATGCATGACTTGCGGAACAAAACACAAAGCGAAACAGGGGACCAGATATCCAATACTCCAAAATGTTGGATTCTGCAGGATCTTCGTCTGATGCTTTTCCTTCAATACTGTAGACATTGATCATTATTTTAGTGGCAGAGTTACTTTAAGGGGTAGAACCATAATGGGATTTCCATTACTGGAGCCTTTAGACACCGAACCCTTGGTGCCCAATTGTAAAATTACCTGTTTTATACGTAACTTTTTCTTGTTTTATTGGTTTAACGTAGCTTAAAATATTGTGACAATGTATATAATAGAGATAAGATGATATTATTTGTACTGATTGTAGGGGAAAAAACATGCTTCTGATAACTTTACACCATCTTGTGCCTATGTTGACTATAGGAACAGGCTTAGTGAGCTTAATGGCAAATCTGGTCCTGGGTTGTAGCTAAAGGCCTAAGAGAATGAGTAAACTATAAATAAGGTGACAAGGAGTATCCTTCCTTTTTAGATAGTAAAGGTGGAAGCTCTGAAGTTCGAATCCTGCAGGGGAACTTTATTGACCATAAGACTTTTATTTTCCATGCCAGGATTCCTACCTACATTTGGTCCAGCCTGGATAAACTTATATGGTTCTCCTCGTAATACCACTTTGATGGAGGATCACCAGGAGCTCAACGAAGGTCATGGAGAAGGAGTTTCATTCAGAGGAAGAATCCTCATTGAGATTGCTGTAGAGATTCTCTCCGGAGGGGCACACGAATCAAAGTTCTCTAAAATTATCAAGGACATTAAAATTCCAATGAAGGACTCAAAGTCTTCCAAAGGGACAGGGAAAGAGAAAGGAGAGAAGGAGGAAGCTAAACCAGCGGCTGCTGCAGACAAGACTAATTCCACCCAGGTGGAAGTAGAGCCTTTTGATGTCCCTCCTGAGGTTATTATTCTTTTACTGTTTATCTGTAGTGTCATAGTCAATATCATTTTAACATCTCTAGCTATTGTAAATAGGATTACATTTCTTCCTTTCAACAATGAAAACATTTGTAAGAGGTTGAGGAAGCCGACTACTGAGTAGGGATGAGTACAGGTTGGGACTGCGTCCGGTCCGAACCTGAGTTCCTCTGAACAAAGAAGTGCCATGGCCAATTCCATCCAATGGCGGGATGTTTATGCTGACATCATTTTTGATATTTGATGTAATTTACCAATTATAGGCATGTAGCCATATAAGGTCAATGACATCACTTCCCATCCCATTGCTTACATCAAACCTATGGGAGAGGAATTCAACACCAGCAACTGATTGGGTGATGGGAAGGAGCTTCCTTTTATGATCGACGGGGGCTCCTTCCCAGTTCAGAGGAGCACAGGCTCAAGCTGACTTCTCATGCCCATACATTTCAGTTTAACAACTACAATAGATGCCACAGCCCATAGACCTCAATGACTTGATGTGTACTTGAGCTTTCACCCATGGTGTACTTCAGGAAGGCATCAGAAAGATAAAGTAGGAAGTTTCCAAAGCAATAGTGGATGGAGATTTTCTTCAACCAGACTACAGTACAGATGCATGAATAAGATCCCAATGACATGTTGCTGTATATGTGTTTTAGATACATGAGGAACAATTAGAAGACTTTCTTCTTTTTGGATCATTCTTTGAGGCAACCCTAATTGACAGGAAGATTGGCGATAAACCTATAAGCTTCGAAGCCAGTGTTGGTGAGTAAATATTACAGATGTATTTTCTTTTTAAACAGTAGCATTCATTTAAAGCCGACGTGAACATTTGGTTTAAATCAGCTAAATATATTCCAGGCACTTAAAAAATATTTTCAGTCTTACATTTTCTGTAGCTGTTTAGAAAGAAAATGAACAGTAAGACATTGAGTACCTTTTGTTTTGATGCACATGGAATGTATTTAGGTGATTTAAACTGAAAGTTCAATTGGGCTTTAAGGAACTGATGGTTTTGTAGAAAATATTTTTGTTGCATGTGTGTAAATTGGAACTTGGAAAGCTACAGGGCCCCCCCCCCCCCACCCCCACCGCCAACAGTGCATATTCACCTTCCCTTCACTCTTCCATTGCTTTTTTTTAGCCACTGGGAGCAAATCCTGTGCATGCTTGAAGTCGTGATTTGAATGTTAGATAGGGCTGAGGACTCTTTCCTCTCCACATGTGGCAGTGCTGGCCAGAGCTGTCCGTATAATGAGGCAGCCTGAAGCAGTTGCCTCACACGTCATCTTATTGGGTCACAAGGGGGGAAGGGCAGCAGGTGTGCCTGCCACCCCCTTTGCAGCCAGAGCGTGCCAAGTTGCTAAGAGCTCTTAGCAACCTGTGATGCTCTGGCCGCCGTCCCACCAACTCACTGACATCACTGGCTGCTAGAAGCTGAGCGGGATGCTCTGGCTGGTGCCCCACCACATCCACTGCCATCATCCCCGTCCCACACCCCCGGCCTCATGCAGGGAATAGTGTAGGGACACCCCTGGGACCTCCACACCCGAAATTTTAAGTTGTATTCCCTTAAAACAGTTTGACTAGTTCTGAAAATATAGCAAATGCATTTTGGGGGTTAAAGGGTGCCCCCTTTTCATCAGAGATTGCATTGTCTGCAGGCACACTCCATAGCAGCTGGTTTGGGCAGCCTACAGACTGCATCTGCAGCAAATTCTAGTCCCACCTGTGACTTGACAATATGAGAATGCCCCTGAGAACAGTAATGAGGGTGCACACATATAAAAGTAGGCATTGTTGCTTGCAGAGATTTCACAACATGTTCTAACTCTTTGCACAAATGACCGAAATGACCTACTGCTGAAATAATGTAATTATGGCAAATACTTGGCAATTTTCACTGATACGGAGTACTTACAGGTAATTATGGAAATGTTCTTGATGGGGTATCACCACATGGCAGCAAAAAGAAGACGTCCGATCCTGAAGACTTGGAAAGTGCCCCGTTACTGCAAGCTGAGGAAGGGAACGTCTCTCATGAAATCTCAATGTCATATAAATCAGTGACGTCTCCAGAAAAACCTCTCATAACAGATGGAAATAGGTAAATGATAAAACAACCGATGCATACATTTAAAGTTGGACTCCAGACAGATAAAAGAAAACAGTTAAAGTGACATTACACTCAGGAGTTAAATCTTAAAACTGCATTAAAGTACCTTAAACTGACATTAAACCCTCAGATTTTTTTAACATAAACCAATACTGTAATGTGTGCCTTACTGTAATCCATTGTAGTTTCCCTTCTCTTTGCTGCTCTACCTTTTAAATCTGTATCTGTTCTCATGCTGGGCAGAACTTCTGTTTTGCAGCAGACTGCCTTGTCTCTGAAATGGATACATGGTGTCTGTGTGTAGGTTCACAACCTGAGCCAGCACTACAGGAAGAGGCACTCAGCTGCAAAGGGAAGTTCTCCCCCAGCATGAGAAGAGATAAGGATTTAAAAAGAAGAGCAGCAAAGAGAAGGGAAACTACCATGGATTACAGTAAGGCACACATTACAGTATTGGTTTATGTTAAAAAATCTGAGGGTTTAATGTCACTTTAACTATTAACAAAAATGTATCTTGTTTGAGTGTCACTCGGCTGTAGATCCTCAAATCATCTCTGAATTGGTGCTGACGCTCTCCTTCCTTCTGGAGGGGGGCTACTTTTGTTCCCCTTGATCCCTGTGTGTGTTGTACAGTAGCCACCGCTCCAAGCTTTCTCCTGTGATTGTCACAATATTGTCACAATACAGCTGGGGGTAATGAGCCAAAATGAAAGCCTCATCTCATGTCTGCTTCAGAGGACTCTACCTAAGACAACACTCCCACCTTACCTCATGACAGGAACAGCCCTGGTTTACAATGCCTTTCCAATTTGTGTTATGTCCTACAGGAATTATCACTACTTGCCAATTTATGAAAAAAAGTCATGCATCTATGTGAAAAGTACCTGGGGCGACCAGACATTCAGGCTGTACACGTCCAACGTGCTCCATAAAATGGCCGAGCATCTGGTAAGTACTCATAAATGCATATCATTTACACACAATACTGTTTTTATTTTGGATGGAGGCGGTGATGGGGGCTTTTTAGCTGGTGCACTCTTCTAATCCTCCTTTGGGCTTTGATCTTTGTAATGGCTTAATTCTGTCATCAGGTTGATGGATGTCTAACAGGCATAACAAATACAAGTGAGGTGTAAGTCCTCAGACAGATAGAGCAACAGCACACAGTAGCCATTAGGAGTCATTAGGCTGATGGTCTGTTGAATATGCCCTGTTTTGGGGGTACCTTGATTTAATGAAGGTCATCTAAATCTTAAGGAATGTTCTTTCAGGAGGCAGGGAATACCTTTAAATCAATGCCGTATAGCTATAGATATCAATTTTAACAGCCCAAAAATGGTGCATGCACACAAAACCAATCAACAACCTAAACGGAATCCAGATTCCAGACAGTTAGACAAAGCAACCACTGACAAGATAACAGGCCAATGATCAGGATAGACAGCAACAAGATGAGTATGAATGCAGTCCAAACAATTTGCAAGAATAACCCAGGACATGAACGTACAGACAAAAATCAGACAGACCTGTGTCCAGGCATGAACAAACAGACTAACCTTTTGATCAGATAGAGACAATGTCCAGCAGTCTGTTTAAGCACTCTTTATAAGGGCATGCGTGCACCGAAGAGACCTGAGCTGCATTGCTAAGTAACAACCAGCCGATCACAATGGCTCAAGGCTGATCGTTGCAGTTCATCCTTCTCCATGAGAATGTGGACAGATCCTGACCACTAAAAGCATTGTTCCTGCGAGGTATTGGTCTCTGAACTCTTGCCAACCAGTAGCTCTCAAAAGTATTGACTTTTATAAATTTAAGATGGAAGAGGTGGGTGAAAACAGAGTAAGCAGGTGTACTATAGACAGGGCCGGATTTACTCTCTCTGCTGCCCCAAGGCCAGGTTCCTAAATGCACCCCCCTACCTGACACCCCCCCCAAGAGAATGTCAGACCTGCAGGCTGGATACAATGTCCCCAAGATCACTTGTACAAAACAAGCAACGGCTTCCCCGTTGTACATGTAGCCCTGCTTGCCCAAAGCAGGGCTCAATGTAGAAAACAACTACCTACCCGGGCATCAGGAGATAGGAATTCCACACCCCTGCTGCCCCTCTACTCCCTGCTGCACCAAGGCTAAGCCTTGGTTGGCCTTGTGGGAAATCCGGCCATGACTATGGATGTACATCTGCAGATTAGAATCACCAATGGACTTATGGTTTTGAAATTTAGATCTTAGATTATGGCTTTACTTAGTGAACATTTATATTCCAATATGGCGGGTGAGGCACTTTTGTTTTGTTTGAAAATGCCATGGTACATGCTGGAATTCCCCTTTATACTGTGTAATACGGAGTACAGTGATCCTTTAGGTCAGCTGGAATGTGTTGTTTCGTTATCATAAAAGCTCTAACTACTTGTACTTACTATTCCCTGGGAACTCTGTAAAGTACAGTTCTGCAGTATTCACATTGATTTGCAATGACTGCGGCACTTTTTCTGCCTAATAAAGTGAAAATGTAATGTTTTCTACCAAATTGAAGGGAAAGGGGAACATGAATGAATTAAGTCAAGTGATTAAACTGGTAATGTTTATGAGTATCAAGCCAATTAAGTTGGTATATAATATAACTAATATAGTACCGCAGGGCTGGAAGCCTCCAAGACATTTGGTGGGTGATATATCCAGAACAGTGTAGGCAGAATGTATAAGGTCAGTGCAATTATCTTGAAAATTACCTGCTACAAAGAAATAGAGTCCTCTAAAACTTTACTTTGAAATCCACTTAGAGAACAAACTGCCGGAGAGTTAAAGGAACTGCCGTTTCTTATATCAGCGACTACTGGCGAGATCTCTGCGCTGAGTTTCCAGTTTCTGAACATCAGCTCTAGACATCAATAGGGGCTCCCACCATACCTGCTGGATTTTGTATTTATTTTATATTATTTCGAATGTAACAGGAGGACCCAAAACACACAATAGCCAAAATTTGTAGGTGGAAAAAAACAGAGCTGGGAACGACATGGAGATCCCCCAATCTATAGAAGCCAGGAGTAGATTCAGTCCACCAGGCTCCACCACATTACTTTAATACCACTTTTGGATGACATGACCCTTTAAAGGTCAACAACATTTTTTTATTTTAGTTTTGGGCAGAGCGTAGAAAGGTTAGAACTTCAGTCAAGGCTTGACTTCCATTACTCTGAGCGTAAGCTAAAGGTAGGTCCTTAGACACCTTTGAGGAGCTTTTATTGGACAGGATCAGACTGAAAACACACAGCTTACCCCTATCATGCGTCCCCACAATCCACATCCGGTGCACAAATAAGTAATAGGCTCAAAAACTGTGGAACCAGCACACGATAATCTTCCAAAGAATTTCAAACTTTATTCCACATGCATCTGTACAAAGCACAACCGCTAGGATGAGAGCAGAGGCCTGGCTTAGCAGCAGAGTTGGGGGAAGTTGAACCCTTAGAAACACCAGGGTCAGAGATGTACACAAAATTGCTTTTGGCTTACTAAGACACTATTGTACCTTCTCTGTGCAGGACTTTTGAGCATAAAGGCCAACATAGCCTCCTCCTTCCTTCTTATGATGCCCCCCACACAATCCTAAAATGCAGCTGGGACCTGCTTTCCACTGCCTGGCTTTCCTCCATGCTGTGCTTACATTGATTGAGGGGAAGTTATCAAAACTGGAGCAGTTGACTATGGCAACTAATCAGCTTCTCTTTCATTTTCAAAGCTTAACTGAACAAACTAACCAAATAAGCTGATTGGTTACTATGGGCAACGTCTCTAGATTCTAGTTCTAGTTTTGATGAATCCCCCCCATTTTGCCTCTGGGCGTCCATGCTGCAGTGCGCAGGCTCAACAATGGGTTCTATAGAAATGCATGAAAGAGCCAGGACCAAGTGTTCTTAGCTCTCCCAGTCATCTCTGATCTTCCCAAAGATGTATCTAATTCCATCTTATTTTGAAAGTAAATATTGCTACCTCCAAAGATACAAAAGTGTAGACACAAAGGAACAGGAAGTGTGTTATTCATAAGATTCCAGGAGAGAATAAAGGGAAAAATCTGAAAAAAAGAAAACTAGTGCCGCCACTACACCCAATCATTTGCAATATATTACATTTTGTTTTTATGTTTAGATACCCTGTAATGAACCCAGTCGCTTGTGTTGCTTGTGGACAGGTTGCTCAGGCCAAGCACAAGGTGAAGCAGTGTGGTTCAGTGAACTGACCTCCCCCTGACTTACTTACCAACTTCTTGGACATCTGCCACAGTGCAGACACACAAACTTATCATTGCAACTGTGATGTGATCGCCTGGTGATATCAATAAGCAATCAATGCTAACATTTAATATTTTCTTTATAGGGAGAGGCGTTAGAACACATGAAAGAGCTCAGCAAGATCTCAGATTTTGCATCAGAAGAAAAGATGAGGGAGGTGCTGACAGATTTTGTCAGCCAGTGCAAGTACGTTCTTCCTGTCTGTATATGTCCTGTATTAATGTCAATAGCCTGATAGAGTTTTAGAATAAAACAAAATTTGCCCAATGCGTATTGCAGCTTTGATTGCCCTTTTCAGGCTCCTGATTAGAGGGCTGTAGAGTTTAGGACGTAGACAATAATATAGAGCCTCTAACTAGGGGTTTCCCTAACCTTTTTGCCACCTGGAGCAGGGGGAAGGTGCTGCACGCAATCAATGAGGTGGGGTGGTGCTGGTGGAGACTGATAGTGATAAGAGCCAGGTGGGAAGATGTGGAAGGGCTCAGGCTCCCTGCACAGCTTTTAGAAACAGCAGTCTCTCCTCTCTTTCTCCCCTGGCTGTCTCTCTTTGCTCTTTCTCCTGGCTGTCTCTCCTCACTCTCTTTTCTGACTGTCTCTCCTCTCGCTCTCCTGGCTGTTTCTCCTCACTCCCTCTCCCGGCTGTCTCTCCTCGCTCTCTTTCCTGGCTGTCTCTCCTCTCTCTCCCCTGGCTGTCTCTACTCTCTCTCCACTGGCTGCCTCTCCTCCCTCTCTCCACTGGCTGCCTCTCCTCTCTCTCTCCCCTGGCTGTCTCTCCTCACTCTCCTGCCAGTCTCTCCTCTCTTTCTCCCCTGGCTGTCTCTCTTTGCTCTTTCTCCTGGCTGTCTCTCCTCACTCTCTCTCCTGGCTGTCTCTCCTTGCTCTCTCTCTTGGCTGGGAACAACTCTCTCCTGATCCCTCCCCATTTGCAGCCTACAACACATTCAGCCACACTAGCACTGCAAGAGAGAGCTTGGAGTTTGAGCCAACTTGCGATCACGATCTATCAGCGGTAGCTTTGTGAACGACTGGTAGATTGCTATCAACCTAATGGGTACCCCTGGTCTGGAGTTTGGGGTATTTAGGCCATGAAGGTATATAGTCATAATAGAGTATATTGGAATTCCCCTGATCTCCCTGCCCTTACTTTTTTCTCTACAAAACTGGAGATCTGTTCTGTATGACAGCAACTATATTATACTAGTTGGGATCTAGGTGATTCATGCAACAGCATGTAGTCCTTTACAAGAGCACTGTGGAAACCCATTCTGGAGGGCACTTACATAGTGGATTTTCTGAAGAAATTCCTATTAAAATGGGGCATGTTAAGGCATATAAAACACATCATTTACAGGGTTATTCACAAAAGGGTGAAGAGTTTGGAGAAGGCAGGAGAAGTGAACAATCTAGGACAACATAGCTGACTTGGAACAATTCTCCAATTCAGCTCACTTTCCAGTTCAGCTATGTTGTCCTAGATTGTTCACTTCTCCTAACTCTTCACCCTTTAGTGAATAACCCCCTTATTGTCAAATCATGCTAACAAAGGATCTGAAGAATTTTCATATTTAGCCTGGACTTTTACTTCTAAAAGTTCTGAATGTTTCAGGTTGACTTGAAGATAACATTAAGAGGGTTGTTCACCAAAGAGCCGAAGGATTCAGCCATAGCTTCAGCTGATCCTCGGCTCTCTTTGGCCGCCTCTGCCCTGCGGTTCAGTTGAACCCAAGGGCTGCTGTACGGGCTATTCACAATAACCTGTACAGCACCTGAGCGGCTCAGCCGAGCCAGAGGCAAATGCTTCAGCTCGACTGAGCCGAAGTGACAGCCGAAGTGTGGAGAAAGGTCGGCCAAAGCTGACCGATCCCCATGCAAATGACAGCTGGGAGGAGCCAGCCATGATCTCTCGGCTCTCTCCACCCAGTTGTAATGACATATCAGTGCCCCCAAAATGACCAGGGGACGCTGATCTGTCATTAAACAATAACAACTGGGCGGAGCTGGCCGTGATGTCATGGCCAGCTCCGCCCAGTTGTAA